CCTGGTGAGGCGCTGCAAGAATGCATGGATCAAGGCGCAGGCCTCCATTACCCGGGCCAACGCCCGTTACTCACACCATCACCTCCGCAGGCACCGCCCGGGTCCCTCCTATGCTCCAGGGGACAAGGTCTGGGTGTCCACGGCAGGCCTCCGGGTCCGCGCCGGTTCCAGGAAGCTCGCTCCCCGGTTCCTCGGGCCCTACCCCGTGCAGGAGGTCATCAACCCGGTCACGTACCGGCTGCGGCTGCCTACAAGCCTTCGCGTCCATCCTACCTTCCACACCTCCCGACTCAAGCCTTACGTGGAATCCCCCCTCCTGCCACCTCAGGCTCCAGCACCTCCGCCGGCCCGCTTCCTCGACGGTGAGCCCATCTACACAGTCCGGCGCATTCTGGACGCTCGCCGCCGGGGTCGGTGCTGGCAGTACCTCGTAGATTGGGCGGACTACGGTCCCGAGGAACGCTCCTGGGAGCCGGCCCGCTCCATCTTGGACCCTGCCCTCATCTCGGACTTCTGGGCCCACCGAGGTGGCCCGGGGACTTCTGGAGCCGTCCCTGGACCGGGGGGTCCTGTCAGAGTCCAAGCCCCCAGGCCGGGCTCTCCCAGCTGACCGGCTTCCGTCTTGGACCACATTACCCAGCATGCCCCTCGCGGGGATTCCCTCCACGTTGCACCTGCGTCAATCCATGTCTATATATGGAAGACGCTACACCGGCTCTTCACTTAGTCATCGTTCCACCGTGATCTATGATCAGAGTATTTCCAAAGCTACTACAGCTAAACCTCCACCTTTCCTCCTCAGACCTCATCCGTCAGCCTTTCCAGCACCGCTTTCAGCCCACCGTCAGTATAATAAAAGCTCTTACTCCCGAACCCAGTCTTCGAGTCTGACAGAGACACAGTCAGGGAGGCCGGGGTGGATCATGACAGGAACACGTTAGGGCTCCTCCAGAGGAGCTGGCCCAAGTGGCTGAAGAGAGAGAAGTCTAGGTTTTCCTGCTTCGGCTGCTGCCCCCACAACCTGACCTCAGCTAAGCGAATAAAAATGGATGAATGGAAAGATTATGATTCTCAGTATGTTCTTATCCTTGTATTGTCAAAATAGCAGAACATTTTGGTTCCACACCTTTAAGGAGTCAAATTTCAACTTGGACAACAAATAATCACGATCTTGGAAAGCCACTCACATTCTCCTATAAGTATTCAAACTTGTTTCTCCAAAAAGAAATGATAGAAGAGCTTGACAGAAAAATGAGACAATCAAAATCCTGAAAAAAAAACACTTTCACTCAGAAGCTGCGTTGGCAACGTGTGATTTACCACCACATGAATGCGTCGCTGGTTAGCAGATCAGAGCATCACATGTGAGAAGTTTACTTTTTACTGAAGGGAGCAAAACAGTTGTTTGTAAATCCACATGTGATCATTGCTGCAATTATGTAACACCAGATATCTGATAAGATCAAAAAAAGCATGGCTTCCAAACGTTTCCTGCAGCAATGAAAAACAAAAAACTGGAGGAAAAAAACAAATCTTGGAGTCAGAGCTTTTCTCTTTTTCTCATTTAGCTTAGAGAAAGGTAAAACCTTGACTGTTTTGGCCACTGGTCTTGTTTTGTTCCTTCCTCTATTCTTTTTTCTTGTTATAGTCCTTGTCCAAGCTCACCGGAGTCCAACAGCCTCCACAGACACCATCTCAATCCAGTCCAGAACCTTTAGGATCTGATGGAATGGGAGATTCTCATCCTGGATGCAGTTGTGTGATGCTGTTTTATCAATACGGACCAGAACCTCAGAGATATTTCTTTGATGAATGACAATTAAGGTAATGATTCAATCAAATTCAATTCAGTTTATTTATATAACACTAAATCACGACAGAAGTCGTTTCAAGGCACTCCACAAAGTTTACTTTCCAATACAGGTCAGTTCATTAAGCCAATCACTAAAAAGTTTCCTGTAAGGAACCCAGCAGGTTGCATCGAGTCACTGACTAGTGTCTTAGGCCTAGTCCACACGTAGCCGGGGTTTTTAAAAACGAATATCCGCCCCTCCAAAAACTTGCATCCACACCACCTCGTTTAAAAAAAAACTCTGTCCACACGTACCCGGATAAATACGTTGTTAAGGACATGCCAGACCTGTAGGTGGCAGTACTTCCCCCGTTCTTAACCTCGTCCTTCGTTTGTGGTCTTCCGCAAGGAGCAGTAATTACGCTTGCAAAAACAAACAAGCAAAAAGCGCTTGGACAATTGATAAAGCGAGCGCAGCTCTGAGGGCATCCATGCTTTCGGCTAGTGTAAACACAGGTCGCACACGTGATGTCAGCATTTTTTTGTCGCGGAAAGTGACGTTGCGGACCTTAAAACTCCGGTTTTGTCTGTCCACACGCAGACACCCAAAACGGAGAAAACGCAGATCTTCACTTTGGCCGGAGTTTTTAAAAAGATCCGTTTTCGTGTGGATGACAGGCCAAAACGTAGAAAAATAGCTACGTTTTGGCAGATCCCCGGCTACGTGTGGACAGAGCCTTAGACTTCACAGCAATCCTCATACTAAGCATGCAGCGACAGTGGAGAGGAATACTCCCTTTTAACAGGAAGAAACCTCCAAAGGATCCTGGCTCAGTATAAGCAGCCATCCTCCTCACCATGAAAGTAAAAAAGGGTCAAACCCGTGCTCTGGCCTTCTCACTACCGATTTGCTCCTCATATATAGTGCATAATGGTTGCTCCAGTTTTTTGTTTGATTTGGCACGAGAATGTTATTTCTTTTCATTTTCTTTTCATTTTCTGCATTTGGGTCTGCTCAAAACTCAGTTTCTCATGACAAGGATGTCATTTTTGTCTATTTTCAGTTGTTCCCCTTTTTTGTCATCTCCGATATTTTCCACCTTAAATATTTAACATGAATGCGTGGATCAGATGTCAGGAGGGTGTTCGGCAGATCCACTCAGCAGATAGATCTCGTGGTGTAATCCAAGAACATCTTTGATTATCCATTGTATGGAAATATATCATGAGTCAAATTCAGCCAACATGATGTGCTGCTGTAAGGTGAGAATGCACAAATCCAGAGATGACTGCAGAATGACGCCCCCTGCTGAAACTGAACCATCTCAGTTATGATTCGATCACTGCAAAAATAAGTTTTAAAAATGAAAATTATTTGCAACATGGCCAATTTAGCAAAAATGTCACCAATCACTTGTGATACACCTGATTCATTTAGGGATCAGACATTTGTCTAAACATTTATCCTCATATCTGCTCCGTTTTAGTCATGATTTCTAAAGAACGCGTGCAGAACCAGAGATGGTGTGAATCACAAGAGAAAGCAGGAACCCTTTGACCTCACTTTCTTTGTAAATGTTACTCCTCCTAATGCTCAAAGCAGAATGACTTCAGGCAGGAGGTTTATGAGTGAACAGGGTGCGCGCTGTCCTTTCAGCACCAAAGGGTTGACTTTTACGCACGGCCACAGGACTCAGCCAAGCAGCGGAAACCACCAGGCTCCGACCGCAAATAGCCCGCATTAATCCGATTAGAACAAAAATAGAAAAGTATGCACAAAATATTTGGGTTGGTTTCATAAAGATTCATGAAGAATGGCTGAACTCTGCTATTGAAGATCTGCAGAATGTGAACGAGCATCCCCCCACTCCATTTTCATCAGTAAAGCTTCACAAGTCAGTGAGATTTTTCTTTTTTATTCTTCTATAAGGGTGGTGGGGGTAGTTAGGAGACACTTGCACGCCCATACTTAAAGAAAGGTTGTTCCAACTTCAGCAGACTAAACTAATCCCCGCAGGCTGCATGTACTGCAGCTGCTCTGACAAGAATTAACAGGCTAGTTGTTGTTTTTGAAGAATTAATTTTCAAAGAATCCTCCCCTAAAAGGTGCATAATTGGGTTTCAATTTCCGTGATGGATGCGCAGCGCACAATGGCTCCAAATGAGGTTAGTAGGATCACAAGGAGGATGATATGGGAGCATTACCATTAAGACGCACGTCTCTGCGCTGTGCGCACTGAGCTGATTGGAAATTTCAGTGGAAGTATTAGTGGAGGAAGACGCTTCCTGTAACTGCGCATCGCGCAGATAAATGGAGTGACGAAGAGGAGGGGGAGGCTCAGAAAACTTCACACCACGTTCAAGTGATGGTCGCTGAACTCGCGGTAACTTTCCTTCTCAGGTGCGTCGGTAATGCGTCCTATAATTATCACAGATAGTGTGGAAAGTAACTCTCAAGGGACCCGTCAGCACGTCGGACAGGCTGAATAAAAAGCGAGCTTCACAGAAGAGGAGCTGATCCGCAACTTCTGCGAGGACGCACAAGAGAGCGACGAATCATTTCAGCCTGGGTTTTTGTTTTGCGCACTCTCTCTTTGCGCTCATGCCGGTGTTTGGAGGATGATCCCAGACTCAGAAGCTTCTTCGTGCATGTAGACTTCAGGAGGACATGTTTGGAGCCAGACAAGAACTCTGAATAAAAGTTTTATTTTTGCTGGACGCATAACGCGGTCACCACATCTGGACTGATAAAAGGTAAAAGCAGTGTGGACTTGTCTACCTTACAAAACATTTCTTTTCGCAGATCATTGCTGCGGGTTTTCTAGTTTATCTTGGGGGGAAAAAAGTTAAACAAATGAACTTTATTGGCAAAAATATTGATTTGAAGTTAAAATGTTTAGCGACAAAACTTGAAAGAATGCAAATGGGTCTGATTAAATAAGGGTTTCAAGTAATGAAAATAAAAAAGCCCCGTGGGAAACAACGAATTAAAATATTTTAAATAATAATTTTAAAAGAGAGACTAGATCTATTTCATGCAGTTTTTGTTGACCAGTTAGGGGGTTCTAATCTGTGAAAGCGATGTAAACAATTATGTTTACATTCTCCTTTGATCTGTCCCGCAGGTGTCCTGAAGAAAAATAAATCACATTTTTTCTATTTTTAATTTTTTTTTTATTTTTTATTTATTTTTTTTTTTGCCCTCTCTAAAAACGGGAGCTATGAGCGAACAGCGCAAGCGCGTCTTGATGGGACTGCTGCTACTGGTGTGCGTCCTGAGCGAGCACTGCGGCGAGAGCGCGCCCTCTCCGGCGACGAGAGCGCACGGCCGGAACGCGCCTCGGAACCTGAAGCGCGTGGGGGGGATTGTGAGGCACGTGGAGGAGAGACGGGGACGCCTTGGCACCTTCAGAACGGAAGCCCCATTAACGTCACGGGCTGGGAGATCGTCGGTGCAGCTGAGGGGTTTCCGTGGCAGAACGGAGAGAGTGAAACAGGCTGTCGGTGAGTCTGAAGGGCGGGACTCTGCAGGGGGATGTTTCATATTTATCTGCAGATGATGCTTTCTAAAGCATTTTATTTCTAAAAGATGCAAAATGTGACAATTCCCCTCTTCCTCGCCTCCTTTGACAGTTTTAGATCAAAAGATGAAGCAGAAAATAATCGAAATTTTAACAGGTAAGACCTTCTTTCACCAAAGACCCAAATAACAAGTGCTGTTGCATGCAAAATCTGGAATCAACATTTCCTTTTTTCTTTCTCTCAGGTCCCCTTGACTTCAGCTTGTGCCCAACAGATGCCTACAAAATGTATCACCACACCAGAGACTGCACGATACCTGCATGTAAGCTGTGATGAGGATAACTGCATCCACAAGCAGTGGAAAGAAGGGACTCACTCTTGTGTTTTTCTTTTCTCTTGCAGACCTCAAAAGATGTGTACGGCTTCTCAAACAGCTAGCCAGCAGCCGGCAGTGCAAAGGGTAGCAGATACACACAAGGTAGATGCCTCTCACCCATGGACGTAATTTTCACTTTGGAAGTGGGGGGGACACGGGGTGGGGGGTATCTTTACAGTATGCTCTAATAGGAAACAGGCTTCAACACAAACAGTTGTTTTTTGCTTGGTCCTAGAGCTCAACCAGTGTCAATTTCATATAGCGTAATATTGTTTTTGGATGGTAAAAAAGTGCTGGGGTCAAAACTTGACTTTGGAAAAAGTGGGGGGACATGCCCCCCCCCAAATTACATCGATGCTCTCACCTGTCACTCACACACAGTCAGCTCATACCTTAATAAAGTCTTGCAGTAGCCAAACGTTTCATTTTACCCTTTTACTCAGTTACATTTTTTTGTGCAGTGAAACTTGTGTTGCTTATGTGATGCTAAATCAGGACATCATAAAACGTGAGTGATCAGTGTAGCTCCTGCTGTTCTGGTGACAATGAGCTATTTGCTTCCTGTGTCAACACAAACACACATGGCCCTTTCTGTTGCAAATCCACCTTTTTGATTCTGTCTGGTTTTGCCAAGTTAAATACTGCGCTGAAAATCTCCCCTCCTCTCTTCTGCTGCAGGTTGAAACCAAACACGAGCGCTCCAGAAAAAAAACAACAACGTTGCTTTGGGTAAAAAGTGCCTTGGACAGTGAGAGGGAAACCTAAATCTAACCAGCCTGATTGGGTCAGTTTTGTCCCTCACTTGGGTTCCTTCTGCTGAGGAGAAAATCGCTGCCAATCACCACCTTGGCTGGGCCTGGAGGGTTAGCCGTCCCCACATGGAAGCAAACGAATACCCAGACCTGGAAAACGATGGTGGAAGTGGCGAGTGGACAAGAGATCAAAGATAAACAAAGGGGTGGTTTTTTTTTGTTTATTTCCCCTTGACTGGATCCAAAAAAGATGTGGGAAAAGAATGACGTGCCTTTTACAATATGCTTGCCCTGTTTGAGTGTTTTAGGGTGACTTTGACCCTTCTACCACTAAGATCCAAAGAAGTTCTCACGGACCCAGTGACATCACATGGTGCCACTTGCTTTTCAGAATGAACAGTCATCATTGTTGCATCTTTGTGCATCTTGATCTTAACGAATCACACGCTGTGGGCAGACTAATCTTGGGTGCAGCAGCATGGGAAAGCCTATGTTTATGTATTTTATCTCCATGATACATAAAACATAGGCCATGCTCTGTTAAACCAGGAGGATGGTGTACATACTGTAAATGCAAGCATAGGAAGACTCCACCTCACCACCACAAACAAACATGGCTATAGCAAAAGGGTGTTACATAAAAGTGTATAAATATATTTAAAAAATGAAATATATTTAAATAAATTATGAGATTGTTACAAACACGACTCTGTTCCATTGCTTTGTGCAGTATTTTATGCTGCATTCCCATCTTGAAGTGAGGAATCACCACATGACTGGAACAGGTCCCAGGACTGCAGATCCGGTGAACTTTCCCACTGTTGCTTCAGACAGGGCTGTGAAAAAAAGGTCAAATTCCAACACAGCAAATGTGTTTTTTACCCTATTTAATTAGAAATAGATGGGGTGGTTTTGCAGAATTGGGAACACTTTCTAAATTTGAGTTCAAAAATTGATAAATCTAGAATAAATTAGCTCTTTCAAGGCAAACCAATGACAAAAAAGATTCTAACTATTTTATTGACATCAGGTGCAAGTGGTTTAATTTGTGTTTGCACAAGTTTTTGCATTTCTGCACAAATTAAATGTAATCAAATTTAACTGTTTGTGGAACTGCAAGTCAGGTCATACAGGACACTTGACTATTAGTGAAAGTTGCACTTGCCTGATTTTTAATCAGCATTAGGTCCCACCGAGCACGTATTACCACAGAGATAGCTGTCAACACTTGGATGAAGGCCATCGAACTGAACTCAAACCAGCTAAATGTCCAAACATCCTATGTAGTGATGGTGAAAGTGAGGTTCATGAAACAGAAATCTGGAAAAATTACCCTTTAACCAGAAATGGACTTAAATGCTAATTAATACGCATAGCTTGTGTTCTAAGCAGTTTAAGGGATTTATTTGAACATTTTGAAATACATTTTGGTAAAAATCTAACCTGTTGATAAGGTCCTGATTAGGCAAATTGTAAGGATGCAGTCTTTTCAAATTCAACTTCAAATTTTATTTGTCACATACACAGTCATACACAGTACAAAATGCAGTGAAATGCCTTACACAACTGCTCGTGACCTAAGAGTTGAAAATAAAATAACTGTACACCACGAATTAGAATGAAGGGTAAATTTAACTAGGAAAGAGTACGGTAAAATATATCTGAATTAAAGTTGAATAATAGAATAGCTTTACAATACAATACAAATTAGAATAAAAGGTAAATTTAGCTGGGAAAGAATAAGATAAAATATATATATAAGTTGAAGATGAGAATAAAGTAACTGTACAACAAAAGGAGTGAGCACCACCTCACCCCTGCCACGAGGACCTCAAGGGATAAACCATCAACCCTGCTCAATGGTCAACTTTCCTCGTGGGGTCACCCATAAAGACAGTGGGAGGGTTAAAAGCTACGTGTCCATGTGGTGATAACACCCTGTTAACAGTTGTTGGTGAAAAGCTTTATAGCCGCGTTGAGTCCCTTAAACCCTATTAAAACATGAAGTTTTAGGTCTTTTTTTTTTTTTTTTTGCTGATGGGTTTCTGTCTTCAGTGCTGAAATCTGGTTGCATGTGAATACAGTTGGATGTAATCTACACCTGGCGAGTGCACGGTGTATTTAACCCTGCAAGACCTCGGATCTGTGTGTCTGTCTTCAGGATGTGTCATTCCTTTCTTTTTTCATCATCCTGTTGGTATGAGCAGCCCCGAAACGATGTGATGCACACTGACATGTACGCAGAGCAGCTCTAACTATTTTGATATCGCATTCTTCAACAAGTGGAAACCCTCCAGTAACCAGCTGGTTTGTCTTTTCTTTAACTCCACCCATGTTTAATGATTTACAGGCGTTTTCCCATCTCCAAATGTGATGAAATCATAACTCTACTATGAGGAGTCGACCAGCACGTACCAGTCATTTGTATTGATGATGGGAAGGCTGACCGTGTGGGAGTAACAGCTTTCTTAAAAAAAAAGATGACTGGCAAAAACTTGAATATTTCTCAATTCATTATAAATGATTGATATAAAACAGATTGCATATTTTTGATTCAAACAACAAAATTAAATAAAATCAATTTTATAGAAAAGGAACCAGAATTGGAACCATTCAAATAAAGTGACCTGAAACAAATAGGGGACTGCCGCCATAAAACACCAAGTCCAGAGACTCCAATTAGCAACTATTCATCCATAACAGGGGCTGAAATCTGCAGATAATGGAGACAAATGCATTTCAGAGGATTTCCTATTCCAATGGTTCCCAATTAGGGTCTGTGACCCGCAAGGGGGTCCCCACAACATTGCAGGGGGTCCCCACAATTTTGTCTGTGCTGCAGTTGTGATGTGATCAAGACTACACTTCTAAACATTGCATTTTTAAAATCCCAATAACACACCCAGTAGTATAATTCAAACTTTGTCTAAGAGTCGTAACTCTGTATGTCGGTATAAAGTTTGTAACTGATCACTTCTAACATATGCGGGTAAGAGTTGGTGTTGGGGGTCCTCGGCTTGTCTTGGACCCAGGGGAGGGGGTCCTTAAGGAAAAAAAGGTTGGGAACCAGTGTCCTATTCAAACCTTTCTCCACTTCAGCACATGGTTGGATGCTAAATCCTTCTGCCTCTGACTTTATGAAGTTATTATGTATCCTGATGTAGGATGTATCCAGTGTAAACACAGTCATGGTCATCTATACATCCATTTTTCAGATGTTTTTCCAAGGTTTAGTAAGTGGGATAAGATCCAAAAGGAAGGCAGTCATCCCTCTCCAAATCCTCCTGGGGATCCCAAAGCATTCCAAAGCCAGAGAGGAACTTCTGATTGTACTCGCAGGGTCTCCTCCTTGAGGGACATTTCTGGAAAACCTCCGGATGAAGGCAGCAGGGAGGCTTCCTAATTAGATGCCTGAAACAGCTCAGTTGAGTCCTAAGCCCTTTTCAAATAGACATTCTGGAACATTTGCGGACAATTCAATCCGGTTTTTAACCGGAACTGTGTTTTCAGACACACCACTTTTGTACCGGAACTTGTCCTTTCGGCTGCGTTCACACAGCAGGGAAAAGTTCCAGATGTCTGACGGCGGTGGGGGGGGGAATCGGACTTATGTTAAGAAGAAGAAAATATCATTTCTATAGCGCCTCTCAAGATAAAAATCACGAGGCGCTTAAGCATAATTCTGCGCACACGAAGACGCATAAGAGACCTGGATGATGAAGCTCAATGGTTAAAGGAATCACTGAAGCGGTGTGAAGCGCTCCGTCGCGCGTCTAGTCGGTACCGTAGGAGGCGAGCTGCCGTGGTTCACCGCATACTACAGCAGCGAGCTACCTAGGTGCGCACAGCGTCCCCCGGTCCCCTCCTCCTCCCCCACCCCCTTGTCCGGAACTTTACCTCACCAGTCTGAATCAGCCACCCTGTCCGTAACAATTCCGGACCTGTTACTAGGGGCTTCGTCCGGATAAATTCCGGAACACGTTATCCGGATGTTTGTATTCAAACACAAAGGTCTTACGGACAGAGTCCGGAACATTTCCGTTTTTCATGGCCTGTCTGAAGGGGGCTCTAGTGGATGCGGAGAATCAGAAACACTAATCTTGGACCAACCATCCAACATAGAGAGCTCATTAAGGCATCTTGATCTTGGTCTTCTGGGGATGATCCACGGTCATCCGCATGGTGGAACTCTTCATTAACCGCTCACGGTCCTGTCCTGATGCACCTTTCTTCACACTGATCAGAGCGAGTGTGCAGAAACAACCAACTGTATCACAGTGAGCGCTGACACATCTCTGTCTGAATGAGCAGTTTGAGTGACAGAAACGCTCAAGTTCATTGGTTTTCCTTCTTTGGATCAAATTTGATAAGCACCTTAAACTGGGAACATCCTACAGCAACAACCCTAACCCTGGTCTTGATGAACATGTGACCCTATCAGCTTTTGATTTGTTAACCCCCAACTTTTCCGTACATGTAGTAATTATCAAATACAGGGGAAAAAAGCACAAAGACAAAACTTTTTTTTTCAAATTAAGTTTAATTAAATTAATAATCACCCAAATTTATAGTCTACAAACTTGTAGAAGTTACTCTGAATGAAGCTTTTGATTTACCCTAAAATAAAAACATCTGGTCATTGTAGAGTTAGACTGATAAGTTTGGTTAACAACCAAAACATGTGGGGTTTATGACTCCTGTTCATCCATCAAACTTAAAGGAAAGATCCTTTGAGGTTGTTAGGAGTTCACCTCCAGGAAGGCTTTGCAGCAACGTACACATTGTTCATACACCTTCTCAAAGTCTTGATCACTGCCCTAAAAATATAAAGGAAATCATTTCAGTCAAGTATTCCACCATTCACATTAAATATATCTAATACATAAATATCTAATACAAGTTAATCTGGGGATTAGGGCAGAAAGATGATACATTTTAAACAATTGAGTCAAAAGGTAAATATTTTTCCACCTTTGTGAGGCTCAAACTGATGCCAAAAGGCTTTCTGCGTGTTAAAGTGGTCTGAAATTTGTAAACGCCGTGTGATGTCAAAAGAAGCTTTCGACATTCTTGCATTTCCAATTTCTTGTGGGTTTCACTGAAATCATTGTTGTTTGATAAAATTTTAAAATGCTTGAAGAAAATATGGGAAATCCTCTTTATAAAACCATCAAATTCAAACGGACCCTAAAACCAATGTCTTTGCTTGTTTTGGGGTTTTCCTACGTTATACCAACATTAGGTTCCAGACTTGTTCATAAACACAAAGACAGAAAACTGTGGGAATAGGGAAACGCATCATCACGATGCAACAAAAAAACAGTAAACCTATCAGATACCTCTATGTCTGACATTTTTGATGTTGCTTAGGAACCATGAGTCAGGTCCTTTAACTTCAGAGGACGAAATCACAAAGATTTTACATCAACTTAATGTCATGAAAAGTGATCTGTTAATACAACGGGTAATAAACGCGTCACTTTTTTTCATAAACTGGAAAAAAGGCCCAGAAGGAAATAATGCATTCTGGATGGCAACAAGATTATCATTTTCATTATGAATGTCATTATTGTCTCTCTCAGAAAAAAAAAATTGATGTTTTTATTTAAACTGACAAGATGATAGTGGCTGTCGGCATGATTCCTGCTCGTTTTGCCAAATGCTGTTAAATATTCCCACCAAAACCACACAGAAGCTCTGGGAAAGAGGCTAACTAAAACACAGACCACTGAAAGAAATGAGATCCTAATATATCTGTCTACACTTGAATTAAAGTCATGAACCACAATCTCGTACTCCAGCCAGATCTCTAATGACACAATGCTGGTTTTTATTCAGGCCCCCAAAATAAAATGTAGCAGGGCGAACAGGAACAGATGAAAGGGTCAAAGAGCTTTGGAACAGCATCAGGACCACATGTGAAAAAGAATACCAGTGAGATTTAACAGAATACTCTCTGAAAACATGAAATACCTCCAGCCTCAACTTTAGGACATGCTTCCTAAACGTGCCATTGATGCTGATTATGCTTTGAAGTGTTCCATTGTTTTTCCATCAGTACTTTTCTCAGATTCCAGCTTTTTTTTTCCTCACAACCCTCCAGAGAGATAAAACAGAGCCTCAGTCCAAATCATCTGGCTGAGTTTCCCACTGCTGAGAGGAACATGTAAGGAACTGAAGAGTCGAGTGAGCCACGGAGCGTGAAAAGCCAAGCCAATCGGAAACCAGGGGAAAAAAAGGATTTCTTATGTTGGTGTCCAACTAATTACACATCTTATAAAATAAGCACTGGTCTGGAAATGTTGGGTAACAAATGTTTTGAAGGCAGTAATTGATCCATTTTATAACTAAAGCCCATAGTGGTGTGTTTTTGGAGCTGTTAATGTGATGAAATGATCCCATTTCTCCCTGCTGACAGTAAATTCTCACTACAACGACCACACGCACACCTGAACACTAATAGATCACTGTGCTGCTCACATTATGCAAATCCAACTACACACCATTTTTTTTGTTTGTTACATACATTCTTTGTTTTAATTTTGGAGAGCCTTGAAATATTCTTGTTAAGAGCTTCAGATTACACATAGACTTCCATCGTCGTTGGCTAATTTTGTGTTTTTGGTTTGGTCCGGTCACATCATTTGGTTTGATGTCGACAAGAATATAAAAAACGCGACTATTTTGAGGTTCCAGCCAGAACTAACCCCGGTTTTCCACTGGATGAGTAAGCAGCAAGTAACGAAATAGACAGGTTTAACCCAAGAGCTCCCTTCTCACCAGGAGAGCTTTAAATGCAAAATGACAGTGAACGCGTTCCATGCAGATTGGCTTGCAAGGCCAAGAAATGCAATACCAAGCGTGATTTCTGCAGATCATGAAAGGTGGCTGTACCTTTCCAAAAAGGTCTATGGTTTATTTTTGTTCCGATTACCTTGGCTACAGAGGCATCACAGGTAACGACGTACTTTATTTCACTTGGTAAGTGACTGGCAATCTGCACTTGACTTTTAATTTGAAAGTTTTAGGGTGTAGAATTTAGTTGGGGGGGTGGGGGTGGGGGGGGGTGGGGGGGACAGGACTCCTCATTCAGTCTTACTCATTATTATTCATGATAGACACACCTCTCAACTCTGATAGGCTAACTGCAATCTGACTCTTCTACTGCCACCGCTCATTCATCCTTCTTGGATAAAAACACAACGCTGATGAGTTATATCCAAAAACAGGCCCGGCACTGGGTCACATGGGTGTCCTAAGTAGAATTATTTTTATTTTGTGGCCCGTCCTGTTCAGATGGCTGTCGGAACGGGTGTGTGTGTGTGAGTGTGTGGGTGGGGGTGGGGGGTTAGGGCATGTGACGAGCCAATTTTCTCTGTGATGTAGATCTGTGTGGCTTTTTCTGACTGAATCGTTTTCCCGTCTATATCCTTTCTGCGTCTAATGCAGGCGATAAGGGAAGAAGAAAAGAACAAATATTACATGGTTTCTTAGTGAACAAGACCTTTAATCCCAATTTCATTAGCTGGAAGATGTTTCACTAAACAGATTCGCAGAACTCAACCAATTACAAAAATCCCTACCAGTTTCAAATTTGTTGCAAATTATGAAAATATTTGGGCTTTTCCATTATAATAATGAAAATATTTGAGTGAATTTTATAATTACAATCTGAGAGATTACAGCCATCCCTACAAATTCACTAAGATTTCTCAGGTAAACGCACCGTTTGGTCATTGTCTGAAGCACAAACTCAGTTTCTAATTTGAAGAGCTAATAGGGAGCCGGTCCAAATTTTTGGTTATTTCCACATTAACACTGTAAAAGAACTCAGATGTTTGCTCAAATACTTACATAATATGGATCATTGATGATCAGCTGCTTCTGGGGGTCAAATTTACCAAGCAGCTCAACTGTTGCTTTTGTGTTTTTCACCGACTTTGCCTTCCTTTTCAGGTCACTGTAAAAACCAGGAAAACTTATTAAATTAAGAGCATCTAAATAAGAACATAATAAAATGTTTAGGATACACATAAATCATAAAAGCAGGACTGTCCAATATTTGCATCTGGAATAACACATTACAGGCAAATCTCTAAAAGACACATCAGATTGGTTAACACTTGTGTAATGCCACAATCTAATTGACAATTGAGATGAACCTTAAAAAATTATAATGACAGAAACATGAGGTTCAATGATAACAGAGGTCTTTCTGTCTGGTGAAAATAAAAATATGTAGGAGGAAAAAGAACTGCCCAAACAGCGAAGACAAGGCATTCAAAGAACTCGGTAAGCTGCTTAGATCAGATCGGCCCTGGGCATGTGATCTCAAAATGATCCCTAAACGTTCAAAGTAGCAAAAAATACCCCTCCCCATGACCTTTGGAAAGAGCTTAAGAAAGGGAATTGCTCATTAAAGGGAAGGCATTCACCAACAAGTTAGTTATAGCTCAGTGTTTCCACCGTTTTCATCTGAATCCAGATGGATTTTGTCCAGACTGCCTACAACTAAGGATTTTCTGATCCTGAGCATTAATAGAAGGGGACACTTAAAACACGAGCCCCGTGCTTCTGCAGCCTCAGAGTCCAACTGTGACCTACACTCACAGAAACAATAAACAATGCTGGGGATTGAAATTACTATACCTCAAATTGCTCTCATCCATGCAAAGAATATAGTCGAAGCTCGTAAAATCTTCCCTGGTTACCTGGAAGTGGGATAGAGAAGCAGATTTAGGCAAATATTTGCTTTGGCTTCACGTAGAAATGGCACAGTCAGCAGAGACTCCCTTTGGTCAGTAAACATCAATCATTTATCAAAGATCTTTCTCTCTGTTACCCTCAATTGGATTTCAACCCTAAAAATGAGAGAAAGGAGGAAAAAACAAGCTTCGTGAACTTCATTGTTTCTCAACGTAGAAGCTTAATGTGCAGTAAACAGCTTTGAGGGGAAGCAAACACAGGAGGTTAAACGCAATTCTGTCGCACGAGGTATAATCTCTTATTTTTGCGTCATAGTGAGCTGAAAATGAAAATATGTTGATGACTTAGCCTCCTAGGGCCCTGTGTCCACAAATGTGCACATTGGCTCCTTGCACTTTTAAAATTTGATCATCTTCACCTCAGACCTTTTTGTTATTGTTCATAGACACATGATATTGATATCGACTTTAAAATTTTTTGTTTTCTTTCTTTTTTATAGGAAGTTTGACAAATTTTTAATTTGATTACATTTTCATTTTATTTTAATATTTGTAATTTTGTTTCCGTTAATGAGAGTAGACTACTCTGTAATAGTTAGATGTATGTTTTCTTTTAAATCACATCAAATACAGGTTCAGGTCTCAGGAGGTTAAAACAGTCAAGAAGCTGGATGGCATCTCAGGAGCAAAACCAGCTTAACTCTGCCTTTGTTTTGGCCAAAAACAATGTCTGCTGGAAGCATTAAATGTAACTTTTATTTATTGTGCGAAAACAAAAGCTACATAGCAGGACTGGAACAAGAAGAGTCGTGACGCATGAAGTATGTTGTCCAGGCAATAATGAAAACTTGGGATGAATCGATGTGAAAACGTAGGCAGGTAACGAAATCTGAAATTAAAATTGCTTTTATATTCAATAACTGATATTTACAGATATTTCATTAATATAAAGTAGGATGTAGGAGAATAATGACACTGAAATATCGCAATATTTCGTGTTCAGATATTGACTCGATAAGCAGTGTATAGATTTTTTTACTGAGGAATTTCAAGCAGATATTTACTTTATTTCTTTTGCGCGGTGCAATTCAAAGTCCAGCTGCTAGGTGGCGGCAGTTTTTACAACCTTCAATCTGACGGAATAAGATCTTGTGATAACACTGGGTGTGTTTCCAGTCCCAGAACGTCAGGGACAATTTACAAGAATTGCCCGACATGCACGTGTCTTCACTTGACCGGGCCGGCCGAACTGCCATTTTCTGGACTGTTTTCAGGAACTTTCTGAGTACCTGATTAAAATTCAATTCAAATTCAAAAAGACTTTATTAATCCCAGAGGGAAATTAGAGTTTCAGTACACACAATTCTGAGATCAGACATACGTTCATAAACACATGACAAGAATTGGTGACCATGGTCATTCACACCCGAGTCGCGCTACCGTTATAGATCAAGAGGGTTTATATGAGGATTGAGTCAGGGGGAGGGGGAAAAGGCACTTCAGAGTTACCCTCCACAGAGAGGGCAGCTTTGCTATGCAAAAAAACACCTCAGACAGAAATGCACATAGACTTCAGACATTACACAACATAAGTGTCCACTAGGTGGGGTGGTAGGGTTGGGACTCTCCTCACTTCAGTGCGTGCAGCCGCATGGAGCAGTGCTCATCACCTCCGTTTGGACAGGGGAGGGAGATAATTACTCCTAGATACGGTTCCACGTCCTTCACCGGTCACAGTCCCGCCCAGGCTGGGATAGGGAGACAAGAGTCTCCATAGCGACGGCAGCATTCCACATTTCTTCTGAGGGGGGAGTTTACACTTCAGCCTCACAGGCTCCAAGGGCACCAGATTCAGATAAAAATTGGTTTGGGGACAGACAGAGATAATTTCCCCTCTGCCTTTGTGTTCTGTTGGTCTACAACCCCTCTAGATCCAATAATGGCGTAATTAATCAGTCCCAATCCATGCTGATCCATCAACTTGCTCCTTGATGGAATCCACCTTGTATGCCAGAGCCTGAATCTCAGCCAAAGTTCCAAGCTTACGACTCACCTCGACAATTATATGAGTTTGTGCGTTCACAGCACGATGCATTCCATCCCTGAGCTCCGGGATTCAGCCAATATTCCTCGAAAGCTCGTTAATTTTCCGGTAAGCCGGGTAACCGCTCAGGCCAAACAGCAGGAATCCCGACAACAAAACCACGACTATCCAAACATCTTCAGAATCCTCTACAGACAGTTGAGAGAGGCAAATCAGGTTCCACTGTTTCCAGGAGTCCATGATATACCCAGCTGGCTCTGTCCCAGAGGGGCATCCGGGAGCCCCTTCTCCCGTTCTCATCGTTGAAAAAGTTTTGTCAATCGCGTTGAGAGACCAACTGACCAGATCCATTTTAATAATTTCCAGTTTCCAGAAAAAATGCAGAAAGCGCCGTGCACAGACAGGACAAAGAGCCTTGGGATAAGGAGGGAGGGAGAGGAGAAAAAAAAGCGTCTGTACTCTCCAAGAGCCGGAAGAAGATGGGGTAGGTACTGCCCGGTGGAGTAGCTGAGCAGAACTTTTGGTTAACTCACCCTGATTAGTTGTAACTCAGTAGGAAAAGACATCAGTAGACACCCTTCAAAACAATCGGCATAAAGTCTTGCCTGCATTATGGCAGTATCACGTAGACCCGTGGTTTAGAGATTTGAGCAGTGGCAATGATTAGAAATTCCTTAACAGAGGAATCTAGGAGAAGAACAAGAGAATGTGATAGAGCAAGAGCAAAGACCAGAGTTAATTTTAGGCCGGCTTTTCCTCGCTGGGGAGCTATTCTTGAAAGAACGGCATGTACTACTGACTCTGACCTAGCCGTGTTGCTAATGGATAGGTAAGGGCACGCAAGTTGGAAAACAGCCAGTAACCATGCCTCTGATGTGCGACAGAGAGATTTGATTTTACGACAGTGATGTTACGCAGCAAGTCTTGAGATGGCGACAGAGAGCATTTATCTGCGAAGTTCAGGAGAATGTCTTTATTCTGTCCCAAAATTGCAAGTATTGTCTGACTTTTAGAATGACAATATATTATATCCTCTCTCTTGTATTGATTACCAGATTCTTGCCGATACACAACTCTAAATATAAGCTATAAATTCTTATACACACACTACACACATTTTCGCTTCTGAGATGATTACCCTCATTGTCACATGATTAAAGAATTACCCATTTTCACCTGCCTCACCCTCTGAAACAGATAAACAGCAACAAGATGGAAAAAAGTATTGTCCCAGTTTTATTTATTGCACCGATGCATTAAAAAATTACTAACATCGGCCGATACCGCCACTGATGCCAATATACCATGCCTCCATAATGAAAACTAAAATTTCTGATATTAAAACCTTGCAGACTGAGCAGCTCTTCTAGTGGTGTCTCACAAAACACGTTGAAGTAACAAAAATCAGGGCATGGCTGGACCGAATGACACTGGACTCCCTGCAGGACAGGTGCTGTGAAATTAATTTCGGCCAAGAGCAGCGAACGTAAATCAAGTTTTCCAAACTTTCCACAATCCAGCCATGTTTTAATAGGTTGTGGAGAGCAGAGCAATAAAAATGTGTCATGAAAACAAATCTGGCTGAAGATTTATTTTGTCTGATGGTGGTTATTGTTATTATTATAAAAACAAATACTGGAATCAAAGAGAGCAATACACTGATTTATTCAACACAGGTCATTTATACAACAGCAGATTACTATCTAAAACATCTGATATTCCCAGGAATGTTTGTTCTCACACCCTCACACATGGTAGTAATCTGTGTAGGTCATTGTGTGTGAAGATCTCTGTGTTCCTGCTGAGCTGGCGCACTCAGTTTAAATGAAGCTGTAGTAATCTTCTATCTTTTTCATACGAATGAAAGAAATCTCCAGTTGGTTTTGGAAATATCTGGCTGAGATGAGCAGGGAGGGTTTTACTGCAAATGGGGAGTGAAACGCACATAGTCCGAACTCAGATAACATCCTAATGAATCCATGAGGAGATAGTACTGTAGAATGATGTAAAAATAAACTCATTGAAAAGTAAACCGTCCGGGTATTGGGACATTAGTGAAAATATAAACGTTTCAACTATATCTGATTACATATAATGAGAACATAAGAATAATAACGAGGAAAAAAATAAAGAAAAGAGTTAGTGTTCAAAAGAAACGAGAAGAAAAAATTATATACAAGATAGTAAAAACAAAAAATACACTGTAAAATCTGATTAGTTCCGCTTACTTGGAAAAAGCACACAAATTAATTGCACTTAAAATTATAAATACATGGGACTAGGTAAAAATGTGTTGGTGCTACTAATGTAGACAAAGTAAAATTAACTTAATTACAAGACAAACTACATAGAAAAATTTTCCCAACTAGTTTTTCTGAGTTGTAAATACTTAAGTAGTAAACTGTAAGGAAATGTTTAAGTACGATGCTTCAAAATCATCATATCTACTCTCTTAAATCTAGAGTCTGGCTATCAGGTTTTGATAAGAAGAAACATTCCACATGACTTGTTACAGATACTGGGTGAGAATATTTGTTTCAATAAATAAACACTTGGTTGTTTTTGGAGAAACGGGAAGAAGCGGTCTCCAAAATATCTCCCACCAGGCCAAGCTGCTTGGCCACTAACCATTGCAGTTTATTTAAATCTGAGCAAAAAGCCACAGGGTGACAGAAATGAGTCGACCGAAGAAAAAAAAGGGAGCTTGTCAAAGCTCATTGTGTGGATTTGGTTGAGTAAGAGCTGAATGTCTAGCTGCCCCCTCCTTATACCTGATTTAAGGAGATTAAATGTGAGGTTGATGGAACCAGTTTGCTGCGAGAAGACAGCAGATTGAAGGAAAATTGTATTTTAAGGACACACAAGGAGCAGTGATTACTGATTAGGCAGCATTATAAAGCTCCAAGACCAATTATGTATAAATATTTTAGGGTCATTTCTGACTTATTCCATTAAATCAAACATATGCTAATACTCTATACTATATTAAAATACTTTTCAGATATTTTAAAACTACAGGATTCATACTTCAATGTGAATTGTTTCCTTAGAAATATTTTTTTGTAAAAAATTTTCATCTAACTAATGTAAAATATATTTGCAGACTTCTATATTTGTTACAAAAGGTCATAATATTTAAATTTTTAGTATTTTCTTATTTCCTTCACTAACAAACACTGCAGAAGTCAAACCCTCCAGCCATTCCCCCAATTCCAAGACAAGCATGGTGATTGGTCAGCTCTCTGAGCTGGAGCAGGAAGCACTTATCCTTCTGTGCCATCTCTCCCAGATTTTATGTTGAGGTTACGAGGTGTGGAGTGTAAACATTACCTTTTAGAGAGCAGTTAAATTACTACACATAAAACAGAGCAGGATGACTCATCAACATCTTTCTTTTGTTTTGTAGTTAACAACAAACTCTTAAAAACATCAGGAAAAATGTGGAATGGAAAAAATATGTCAAACTTCCTCTGCTTCTGTGACTACTAAAGTGAAAATACTTAATCCTTAAAAGCTTTAATATAAAGAAATGATCTTTTATATAGCGTCTCTCAAGATAAAAATCACAAGATGATTTACAAGAACAAAAATTAAAAATAAAAATGATTTTAAAAATTTATGTTTGTATATATATATATATATATATATATATATATATATATATATATGAAAAATGGGAAAAGTAAAATTTGTGATTAAAAATGTGAGGAAAGAGGAAAAGAAAATGAAAAAAATATATACAAAAAAACTATAACCTGTATTTTCTATATTAGTGGACTATTTGGTCCTGTAGCTGCTAAAATCATTTATACTTTGAAAACTGGGGTTGCCATAAGAGATGCGTGTTTCCTAATATCTATGTTGTGTTTCTATCAATCATGTTTTTATTTGTGTTTAGGCACACTGTTGACTTTGCAAAATCTCATATAACACTGGAACACTGCTCAAATAAGGTGTGGTGATCAAATGATGCATTACACTTGTACACAGATTCACATGCGCGACATTTGAGGGACCATGCGACATCTGGTTATACCTGTCGGGCCCTGTGGCTCGTCTCAATGCCATGCTTCCTCAGGCAGGCCAGACCGCGGGCGTCCGGTAAGCTGCCTGTGTTCCAGTCAGATGTGGCACCACTGTCTATGACCCACTGCAATAACAGAGAGAAAAAGGGGGCGCTAGCTAGGTGTAGAGGTGTGTGGTCGTACCTGCCTGGCCACATGCCTCATAGGCACGCCATGCTTCTTCATGCATGCCTGACCACGGAAGTCTGGAGGGTTTCCTATCTCATAGGTAGAGGTGGCAGCACTGTCTATCCTCCACTAGGTAGAACAGAACATGGAGAACAACAGCAACATTTGTAGACATTGAGGTTAGTTTAGCATTTGCTGCATAATAGTGGGCTCTTGAGGAAAAATTACAAAAGGGAGCAAATGTTCTATTTGACAGTTTCTGTAACCAATGTAGCATGAAAACATCTAGCTTGGCGTTAATCTGCAGAGCTTGTCCTTGAGTCATAACTGGGTGTTATAAGACTCATCTATCTCATTCTGGATAGTAAACTCTAATTTAGATGCTGAAGTGGTTCAATGGGGGAAAACCAGGCCTCTTTGTTTTGCTTCCAAGATGCCAGATTTTATGGGTAAATCCTTGGAAAATGATAACCATCTATGTAAGTTGGATCCAATAAAGCTTTTAAACAAGGACCTTTAAAATATGTGTATAATGTACTAAAATAATACTGTCCAAAATGAAGTTACCTTGTCAGCAACACCAGCATCTGATGCCATTTTCCTAAAGACAGCTTCAGCAATGGGTGACCTGCAAATATTTCCTGTAAAAAACACAACGAACTATGGTAACATTTAAAAATATTATATACTGGATGAAAAAATCCTGAATACATTAAAAACGCCCTCTATAAATAAATGATTATTTCAGATCTTATTATTTAAATTAAATCCAAATACAAACGGATTACTTTTGTTCCTAATATTGCTTTAACATTTCTGATAGTTTTATTTAGCCTATTTAATAAATCATGTTTATCGCGTTAATAGAGTGTTTAGATCAGCGGTGCAGCGCAGAAAATATCCATAATGCTTTTTAGCTTGTTTACAAAATCAAAACGCAAAAAGATAAACTCAAATGTTTCCTAATTTAACTGAATATGATATTTGGGATATTACTCACACGGTGTTAAGACAGTTATATAACTTTGTCATACCGTTTCAGAGTGAAAGTGAAATTGACATTAGCAGCCGGTTAGCTCACTCTAGCGTCAACCTTCTTTAAATACCAAAACTAACAAATAAACAGCTAACATGCCACAAATGTTAAGGTCTTTGTTATATTTCATCGAGAAAATGTTATTGTAAGTTGAAAAAAGACACGTTTCTTACCCAAACAAACGAATAAAACTGACTTTGTGTCGGAGGCTGCCATGTTGCTTTAGAGGTCCTAAATGACGTTAGAGTTGGTGACCAACCCCTGCCTGAATGAAATACTGCAAAAACATTGCAGAAAGGGCGTTCAAAATTATGTAATATTTTTATTTTTATTTTTTATAATTTCATTCTGTATTAAAATATAAGTGTGTCAAGCGCAAAAAGACCACAAACAAAAACAAAACATTATACACAGGCGGTACTACTGCTTCAGATAGAATCCAACTTGTCAAGTTGTTAAGTTCCTTTCATTATTTATATATTGCTTTTTAAAATTAATTTCGGTCATCAAGAGTCATAATATAGCCTAAATAATATGGTACAGTATAAAACACTAAACGATAATTAATGAAAACTATAGCTGTAGGGTGGGGGGTGGGGTGGAGGGGGTCCACAAAAATAAACAATAATGAACAAGAGTCTGTTTCTAGACCTGCAGAAAGAGAAAGAAGAGAAAAAAATGGGACACACAGCAATACAACTGGAGCAAGCTATCACTGCATCAACTTGAAGAAATATACAATAAGCATTGTTTAACTGAACAATCACATGATAATAAATCACAGTGCATTTAGTGAAAACAACAGCCTTAAGACCTGTGTTGAACATGCCCAAGCCCAAGCCCATACTTTTGAGAGCACCATGTGAGCACCTGTGTATGTACATGCATTTGTATTTGTAAGGTTTCTCTATAGGAGCGTCCAACAGAGAGTGTGAGGGACCACAGATCTGCCCCCCCCCCCCCCCCCCCCCCCAAAGATGTGTAGGAGACGGCTGGAGCTCCAAGTCCCAGAGATCCAGGCGCTGCCCCAGAACACAGGAACCCCAAGGAGACTGCAACCAGAAAGGCCCCTGCCCCCCTCGAGAGGCGCAGAGGATTGCCCCAGGGGGCCACAACCAGCAGCCGGCAGAGTCCCGGGAGATATCGGCGACAAGCCCTCAGGCCCGCCCGCAGCCTCCCACCCCCTAGCCGGCCGAGCTCGGGACCCAGCAACCCGGGACCCAGGGGTTACCAGCCCCGTCGGGGACCCAGCAGAACCCAGGGACCCAGACCCCACCAGGCAGCCACCGGGATTGATCAGGCAGAGGCCAAAAATCTTAAACCCCCTGACCCGGGAGTCACAAACACTCAGGCAGACCAAGGCACCACACTCCACACCAGGTGTGGCAGGGGAGGGGAGACGAAGATCTATATCATCAAAAGAAGTCCCAGGAGAAGGGAGGAGTCAAAGGCCCCACCTGACATACACAGTCATACACAAACACAGTCACACACTCCCTCCCTCTTGCTCACACATACACATACAACCAAAGACTTACAAAAATGCACGCCAGACACCCACTCGTGCTCCCCATACACACCCTATTCACTCTGATCCCGGTACTGCTGCACATGGGGTACAACCATTACCGGTTACCAGAGTTTGACCCTTTCTGCTGGGGTGCTGATGAGCAGGCTCCCCCGCCCAACGCTGAGCACAGCAACCCACCACCCCAGACCCCAACCAGACGGCTGGATCTCCCTCTTAGCCTCCAGCCCCGAGAAGCCAAGCAACAACAGAGGTGTGCTAAGACCCCTAGTCTCCCTCCGCCTGCTCCAATATAGTGTTAGTGTGTGTTGATGAGGTGTATTCCATGGCTGTGGTGAGCGGGCAGTGCGGGCATCGTCTGGCCTATGCCAGCTGATGCCACCGTATGGTTTTGAGATTCAAGAAGAGATAGATCACTAAATAGTAATTCTCCCTCTGCATTGATGTGGGAGTTATTATCACGCGTAGTTTGCCTCACACAAATTTTATATCTGAGAACCAGTTTGATTAACCGAATAAATCATTCTTTACACATTCCTCAGTTGGAAAGTGTTTGTTGTAATTAAGAGAGAAAAAGTGTCTGATATCGGGAAAGTGAAAGAGCGCTAGTGTGTTTTATTTTTAGCTTTCCTGTTTGAGTGGAAAAAAAAATTTAAATCCATGACATTATATTAAGCTCTAGACGATTGCCTATAATCAAACCAATTTTGAACTTAAAGTATCCACATGGCAGTAAGATTAGTCCTTTCAGAAAAATCCTTTCAATTACCAGTCCTACACAAGTTTAGTGCTCCCTGGTGGAAGATCTACATTTCACAAAGGGCTCTTTTTGTGTTATATTTTATATATGAATGTATTTGTTATAATCACATTAGCTAATAAAAATTTCCTATTTACACCCAGCATGAACACAAGATGAAATATTCACACAGCACAACCATGGGCACCCTACTTCTTTATTAAATGAAAGCCTTGTTTTGCTTCTCCAATGGAAGGGAATGCTTTACCCCTACTTAGCCACATAATTTTAGTTTAAACTGCTGATATTCCGTATCAGCTCTCTAGGAATAGCTTTAAGGTTATGAGCCCTTATGGATGAGCTTTATTTTTTAAAATGATTGTAAGGTGTATTGACATGATGACAAACAAACTTACCATAGGAAAATAAAAATGAGAAAACTATGTTTACAGTGAACAGTCATGTCATTATGATGTAAAATTGTATGTGCGTGCCTGAAGCTTGTTTTGTAATTTTAAACAGGCACTCCTTTTCCTTAGCTGTAAAATTTTCTCATCTTAAAGGTGTATGATTTGTTTTTTCAGTATCCTGATCTAGGCCTGGGATGATATCAAATTTTGCTGGAAGATACATTTTCCAATAAATTATTTACAATGCACGATATTATTGTTGACACAATCAAGACAAAAAAACACTTATTTAATGTTAATATATCATAATAATGCAAGTACACCCTTTAAAATGCAACCATTAACCCTTTATTTTACATTGGAATGTCCAGAACCAGAACTTCTAAATAAATGAATAAAACAAACAGAAAAGGACTCTCACTCTCTGTTAGAAAATTTTGCAGCAACAACAACAAAATAGACCCCGTCTCTCCCAAACAATAAATACAATGGCCAACAACCAAAACTGCACTTCCACGGTGATAATAAATAATAATAATAAAGTTGTTAATTTCTTAACCTCAATTTATTGAGACTGGAAAAATTATTGAGTTCGTTTTCATCTATGGTATGATTAATTGATTTATTAATTATCATCCCAGCCCTATCCTGATCTAACATTGTGGGTTATTCTTTTGTAATGGCCAACATTTTTCCGGGGGTTCTTGTTGTTTTAACACAAAACAGGGAAAATGCATCCATAATCATTTCAAAAGGTGTGAAGCTGTTTACACTTTCATTTTATTTTAATATTTTTATTATTTGGACTTTATTTTGTTAAAAAAATAAAAAACATGTCTTGGCCTCAAATGGCACCCCAGCTTTTTCAGGGTTTATTCTGTCATTGTTCTTTCTGGTTCCTGTTTGTTTGTGTATCTAATTAAAGTTGTAAAGCCAGGTGTGTTAAAGCAAGACCATATAACAACCAATAAAGCACATTCTGATCTCACACTCTCAGCTCAAAGTTTAAACCACAAGTATGTGTGTGTGTGTGTGTGTGTGTGTGTGTGTGTGTGTGTGTGTGTGTGTGTGTGTGTGTGTGTGTGTGTGTGTGTGTGGTCTGTAAAAATGTTCACAACAGAAATTAACGAGGCTTCATCCTACATCACGCCTGTGTAGACTACATGTGGATCATGTGTAAAAGCAACACTTTAGGTCCTTTTATGCAAGTAAATCATAGTCAAAAATAATATTTATCAAATAACAAAACTCAGAGGTCTCATGTCAAGACAGGTCCTAGAGAAACGTATTCATGCGTTCAGCTGCAGACTGGACTATTGCAACAATCTTTTGTATGGTCTTCCCAAAAAAGCTGTGAGGCAGCTGCAGCTTATTCAGAATGTTGCTGCTGCTAGAGTCTTAACGAGAACCAAGAAAACCAAGCACATCACTCCTGTTCTTAAATCTCTACACTGGCAACTAGTGAATTTCAGAATTGATTTCAAAGTGCTTCTACTAGTTTATAAATCACTCAAAGCCATGGGGCCAGAAAACATCTTGGATCTCCTTATATGCCCAGCAGGGCTCTGAGATCCTTTGGAATCAGCTGGTACAACCCTGGGTCAGAACCAAAGAGGTTGAAGCTGTTTCTAGCTACAATACTTCACACATGGAATCAGCTTCCTTATGAACTCAAATGTGTCCAAACTCTAATAAAATTTTAATCAAAATTGAAACCTTTCATGTGTTCATCAACCTTTGAATGAATGTGTCATGCCGGTCTCCCCCCTCCTGAGACTCCAACTCCCAACATCCTTCTAGCCAGAACTAGTCACTCACATCATCAAACCTCACCGATACAGAAGTCAGCCCTCCAAACAGCGCTCAGTCATCGATTCAGCCGATCAATGCCTGAGACCCGAGCATATCAGCTCTATCAGCCAACTCACTCTAAATGAGTCGGTCATCTTTCTTACTTTAGGAACATCGCCGCGATCAAACGCTTCCACTGTCTTGTTTGGGTCTCCACTTACACCACAGCTAAACTCCTGCTCACGCAGTCAGTCACCTCATTTAACCTGGCAGGATGTTTCTTAAGCTGCACCTTCTGCACTGTAACTGCTCACCCTTTAGCTTTGTCTTTTTTCCTTATTTGTAAATCTGGAATTAATTTGTGTATTTAATTGTGCTGTCACGTTGATTTTAATGTTCATGATTGTCTCACCCATTGAATTGCCTCTGTGTATGAAATGTGCTATACAAATAAAGCTGCCTTGCCTCTTCCATTTCTGGAGCTTTATGATTGAGGCCATAAAAACAATCTAATATTTGTTACGTTTGAAATGTTTAAGTGTAGAAAAGCTCAGAACAGGTTCCCCATTTTTATTATTTGTTACATTAAAGCATACACTAACATGCACAAACAGCTATCAGCATGGTGATGGAGGGCTGATGATTTGGGCTTGGTCTGCAGCCACCTGGAGATTTTACAGTCACTGAGACATCTATGAGCTCATTAGAAAGGGACATTTAGGTGCTTAATAATACAATTAGAGAAAATAAAACATGTTTATGTAAAAGGACAATCCCAGACTTACACGAATCTAAGGTTCAAGC